CTTGCCTTATAATAAATTATGATCTTAAAATTAAAAATCAAACACATACAGAATAATACGAATATACGAATGATACCATAGGCGTGCGCACAGATCGGGCTAAATTTTTCTTCCAAATATAGTTATAAAAAAAACATACAATAAACAATAAATAATATTATGCAAACATTGCGTGCGCAAAGCACGATGATTTTGAGTTATTCAACATTGCGCAAACCACTAGCGATACCGCGGTGATAACGAGTGATTATAGATACGCGGCAATCCGCCGGAAATCGCGCCAATATATTATCAGTGTTTATGTTCGTTTGTTTTTTTAATTGCGGTAATGTGACTTCTTCGTTGGTATTTCAAAATTTTTGAAAATCTTATGTTGAAAAATAATTTTATTTACAATTATTATTTTTTTTTTTTAAGACTGGGTTTATATATAGATATATATACATTCTATAATAAACACGTTCAAGGGAAGGGGGGGGGGGGGAGATGTTAGCCTCTCGTCCACGCCACTGCTGTATATAGTTTATATTTGTTAATTTTTTGAGTAGTGAAGTAAGTTTACAACTTGTTTTAATACAAATAATATGAGAACAGAAAGGAACATAAAATATTTTTTCAGTTTATACCTAACCTGAACGTTTTGAGTACTATAAGCTTTATCATGATATATTTATCTCTTAATTGCAAACTGTAAATAAAGTTTCCTAATCTAAACTAGGTACTTACTTTTCATTTATAATTTTTCAACTACATATTAATAAAATATATTGTATGTAATATTGGGTAACATTTTTTTTTTCTAGAAGATAATAAGCCCAATATATTCAGTATATAAACAGAGTACAAACGGATAAAGGAAGCATTTCTTTCTGAACAACCATCAATCACTTACAGTTCACGTTATTTACTCTATTTTGAACAGTTATACCGCAAAAATAAAAATGTCGTGCAAGTCAATGATTTCAATAGTTATTTTTACATTAGTCAGTTGTACGTGTATTCAATCAGGAAATACTGCACGAATATTAGCTATAGAGACTTTTGCAGGCAAAAGCCATTGGAATTTTATGAGTGCTGTGCTTCGAGCAATGACGGACAATGGACACAACGTTACAGTATTTACACCATTTGTAGACGTTAATCGAGAAAACTATACAGAAATAGATATGTCTAATATATTTCCCATGAAACTTAATATGAGTATAGTGAGGATGAGAAAGATATTCAACAATTGGTTTACACCAATTTCATTTATGATGAAAAATGATGGTAGACAAAGCTGCGAAATATTGCACAATAATGATCAACTAAATGATTTTTTGGAAAACAAATTGCAAACCGATTTTGATGCAATTGTCATTGAACCTGGAATAGTGTCAGGTTGCTTATCTTACCTTGGAGCAAACTCAAATTTACCAGTGATATATACAACCCCAATTCCAATAAATACTTACACAGAACGTATGACCTATGGGGATGTCAGTAACCCAGCAACTGTATCACCAATGTTATTCAATTATGGTGTTCCTAAAACGTTTATTCAACGGTTAACTAATACACTTATTTGGTTACACACCAGTATAATAGTTAGATTTCAAGAATACTTACTTAGACTATACCATTCGAAACCTTATGATGCAGACATAAATAATCCTCCATCATTGGTATTTATGAACACTCATTTCATAAGTGACAAGCCAAGACCAACTCCGTCAAATGTAGTGAATGTCGGTGGCATTCATTTAAAACCACCCCAAAAAATACCTAAGGTAATCATTTTATATCATACCTGTAATACAATCATAAATTATAGTACCTATCTGTATAATCGTTATATTTTGATTAATACTTAATTTTTAATCAAAATAAAATGATTTAATATTTCAATCTTAAATGTACTAGAAATATACATATATTTTTGGTTCAATTAGTTTTTTTTTTTATAAATTTAATATAAATGTATGTAATAGCCTATATTTAAAAATGTGCTCAACTGAATATAAATCATGAGTTATATTTTACTAAAAAATGTAATAAATAATCACAAATTAATAGTATATCGAATTTTTCAAAAATTGTATATAGTGTACATCATTAATAAATTAATAATTGAATATCATATTAATAAAACAATCTTAAATAATGGTACCTATCTGCTGTTTGTATAATAAACAAGTGTATTTTAATTAATACTTAATTTTAAATCAAAATAGAAATAGTAATTCTCAATATTTAAATCTTAAATGTGCGAGAAATATAATTTATAGATTTTTAGATCAATTTGATTTTTATACATTTATTATAATTGTAACCATTTTTTTGAAACTGTATTTTAACAACTAAATACATATGAATTTATATCCTGCCAATAATACAATCTTTTAAATAACTAGAACACAAGACACAATTAAAAAATAAATATAATTTTTGATTATTTGAATTAATGCTCAAAATATAAAACTTATATTTTATTTTTAAAAAAATGTACCTATTATAAATTAATGGGTATATTTGAAATATATATTTTAACATTTTAATAAGAAAAATAAGATTTTTGAGTTTAAAAAGAATTAAAATATTGATAATAATACCTGTATGAGTTTTATCAATAATAATTTAATATTTATGGTGTTTCATAATAATTTCATAAAAAAATACTCTTTATTTTATGTGTAACAATTGTAATGTTTATTTTTATATGCACTAAGTAAATAATTAAAGTGTTTTTACAATAAAAACCTTTGGTTCCAGGATATATTGGATTTTATTGAAGACTCACCACACGGGGTAATTTTATTCACATTTGGTTCAACTACTGCAATGTCTACAATTCCACAATATATTTTAACTGCTTTTAAAGAAGCATTAGCTGAACTTCCTCAAAGAGTTTTATTAAAATACGAGGGTGAAATGGAAGGTAAACCAAAGAATGTCATGACAAGAAAATGGTTACCTCAACGAGAAATTCTCTGTAAGATTTTCCAATAAAACAAATGTTGACAACTAAATTGATAGTTATTTCATTTTTTTTTTTTTATGATTTACAGTGCACAAAAATGTTAAGCTCTTCATCAGTCACGGTGGAATATCTGGATTATATGAAGCTGTAGATGCTGGAGTTCCAGTCTTAGGATTTCCATTATTTGGTGATCAGTATAGGAACATAGATAATTTAGTTGAGGCAGGCATGGGAATATCTATGGAAATATATGCAGTCACTAAAGATAATTTTTTGAAAAATTTATTGGATCTTGTTAACAATAAAAAGTAAATATTTATTAATGGCTTACATTTATTGGTATTTCTAATATTATGTCTTTTTTTTTAGATATGCACACAATGCCAAAATTGCTTCAGAAATATTTAAAGACCGACCAATGTCACCGCAAAAGTCTGTTGCTTACTGGACAGAATATGTTATTCGTCACAAAGGAGCACCACATCTAAAATCACAAGCTCTTAATTTGATGTGGTACCAATACTTTTTATTGGATATAATCGCTGTAATTGTTATATTCATTTTCATTTTTATGTTAATTGTTTTAAAATCCTTTAAATTTATTCACACAATTTATACAAAGATATGTTCTTCATTCTCTAAAGTAAAATCTGATTGATTTTATTTTTATAACCTATAATTTGTAAATTATAAGTAATGTATCAATTTGTTTTAACTTAATGGTTTTGTATTATATGTTATAATTGTAATATTACTTATATGAATAATGTAATATTGTAAATAAAAAAAATGTTTCATATGTAAAAAATTATAGCTATAAGTCTATTTCAGCATTAAATTTATATAGTTAAGACAAGAAATTTGTTACAACTGTTAATTTTTAAATCAACATTAAAAAATAACCATATAAAACCAAATTACTAGGTACCTATTAAACATATTAATTAGTTTAGTCCCAAAAAAAGAATTCTAAAACATCATGTACACATAATTATTGAAATAATGATATTAAATGTTTTAGTGTTAAATATAATATTGAATGAGCATTTAAGAGTCAAGTGATCTAACGATTAATATATTTAATGCAGTGACATGGCATTTTTCACTGGTTTTATTTTTAACCTATTTTTCTATATCGAGCATTATCAAGATAAATTATTTAAATGAATTATCAAGACAAATAAAATAATTTTTCTTTTTTATCCAGACAAATTTAATATATGGATAGACCATTAAAATCATTTTTTTTTATCCTGACATACACTGGTAGATAAGAGGTATATTATCCATTATCTTTACATGGATATAATTTAAATTTTAACTTTAATCTGCACCTAGACAAATCGTATACAATTACCTTTTATCTTTTTCCAGATAAATATTTAGTTATTATTGCGATTACCCTGCTACTTTCACACTTTTTTCATTAATATATCTTAATTTCGTGTAATAAATTTATCGGTCTCAATAATAAATTTCATTAAAATTTTATTTTCTGATTTGCTCTGTACATTGGTTCAATCATGGATCTGTTAAATGTTTTAGTAGAACATATGGATGTTGAAATCCTCTAAATTTTAAACATTAAGGTAATTAAAATGAGTCCAAGTGTGTTATCTTATCTCACTAATAGGTACTAAGTTAGAAAACGGATTTAAATGCTCTAAAAATTAAGAAAAATTACTTAAATAATACGATTTAATGCACTCATAAAGTTATAACATAATATTTTTTTTCAATTATTTTTTTAATTTTGACATTGAAGAAAATTGATATAAATAACTTATCTTATGTTTATCTAATTGCATGTATCATGTATGTATGTATATATCTAAGTGTCTCCACGTGTCGGCAATAATTTCGTTTGACAAACCTTATTTTATCTGGCGTCACATTTATTGATCGGTAAAAACATAATAAATAATATTTTATTCTTTTAGAATACATTTATCAAAATTTTAAATCAAATTGTATCCATTCTTATATAAAAATTTCTTAAAAACATAAAAGTACACTAAAAATGTCAACAAATTCTTTAAAAAGTAAAAAAGTTTTAAAAATGCAAAATAGAAATTTCATTTTTTAATTGCTTGATGTATGAAATGAACTTTTTCTGTTTGGAAAACAATGTTTTCGGACATTTAGAAAAAATGCAATTTGCATTCAAATTTGTTCCGTTTCCGTATACATAACACAACAATACATGTTCAATCCTTCCGATTTTGTATTAAATATATAACTATATTAGAGTGAATTAAAAAGCTACTATAAAACTTAAAGTCAATAACATTATCTGCGTCTTCTCGCATCTCGCTAGTGGTTTATTACGATCTTTTAATTTATAAACGAATTGTGTGTACCTACGCATGTAAAATGTTAACATTAAGTATTTATTGAAGGTGATTTATTTTAAAGATAAAAAATTACTCACGTCAAGTACTTTTTTATGGTGGACTCAAATGTATACCACCAACTTGAATGACAATTAGTTTTGGTGGTATCCATAGGTCTTGGAGAGTCGGAAGTAAAATGTGCGTCGCTAAATATTATGGAGGGTATAACAGGTTCAATCAAATCAAAAGACTCTTTACCGACTATTCTTGCCAACCAATGAAAATCATAACACACGCTACAAGCATAATTGTATTAATAGTTTAGTTTTAGTAGTTATTATACCCTAAAATGTATGTAGTATACCTAATATTATATGCCTAGTAATTGAATAATATATACTTTAATTATGAATATAATAATCACTAGGTAGTCTTCTAATATTGAAGATAACCCTGATATGATGTAGGGGAAGATGGGGGAATGATGGCCATCTTAACTGGAGTGCATGTATCTCTGATAGTAAGAATCCAAATTTTTTTTTTCAATAAAGCAATTGACCGACATCACTCATACCTAAAATGGGGTATACAGTTACAGTTACACATCAGTATAATATGTAAAAGTATAGGACAAAATATAAATTTCTAAAAAGCATAATACAAATGATGATCAAACAAATATATTATCAGTACACAAATGTTTATTAATACTAAGTATTACAAAAGTGTATAAGCAATGTTAGTTTGTTGCATTTATAAAAATTATTATTAGGTGTTATAATAAACAAATTCAAGGCTGGCATTACCCCCATTGTATTATTTAGAGGTAGGTAAATATAAACATAAATATAGAAAAAAATTATAAATTTTTACCTTGAGATGATTTTCAATTTGGAAAAATATTGCATCGAAAATGATGATAAAATTTACAAAATCTTTTGGTGGGAAAAATTAAGTTTATCATATTTCTGGTATTAAGTTTTGATAACAACATATCAAATAACGTGAAAATCTAAATTTTAACTATTATATTATTTCATAAGATATGTCGCTGGCCCACCATTCCCCCATTTTCATTTTTTTCCTAGTAGTATTTTTAAAATCTTTACATTTACCCAACAAATAACAATTATCCAAGTTTTATTTTTGAACCCACCACTATTTGCCATCCTATAAGACATCCTATAATCTATAGACATCGACTACAGAATAACACGCAAGAACCCAACACTAGTTTATTCAGCAACATCGGCATTATCAAACGAGAAACTCTTTTTGTACACTCGGTATAGTATAGTATAGATAAAATTAGAAGTACACTAATAACATACCTACACAGTTCACGGTCCACTTGGTATCCAAAACCAATAGTTCATCTAAAATGTAGACGTCAAGTTTTCGTTGTACTGCGTTATCCTAAATTTTATAATTTAATCACATCCTGATAATTTCATCAGTTTTATTGTACACATATAAGATAAATAAAATAAAATATATTTTGTTTTATCGTGTTGGCCACTCATTCACTCGTTACTATTTACTAATCAAAAAATTTAAAATTATTTGTAATATAATATAGGTAATCTACAATCTACAAGCCTATGTTTGGATAAGCAAATCATAGATGTGTAACCTAACCTTTGCCATAGATTATAAAAATAATTGACCCAAAATAAACTTATAGATTATTTGATTTATAGTTGAATTTATTTTTAAATAAAATTGAAACAATATGTGTATTACCTACCGATGTGTCGACCTATTTATAAGTAAAGTAGTTATTAGCCAATATTAAGTAGTACACAGGGTTCGGAATTTATTTTAAGCACTATAAATTTAAAAAAAAGCACTTTTAATGTAAAATACGTTTAATTTATTATTTTTAATGTTAAAAAATTGCATAACATTGATACAAATAATAATAGTACTTACCTATGAATTCTTATAAGTTCTCAATCACTTAATACCTACCTCTGGCAAATAATTTATTGATAGGTAAATGTATTGATTAATATAAAAAATAAAATAAAAACAAAAGTAATTCAACTTCATTCAGCCATTTCCAGTTTGAAGCAATCCCCTTTGAGATTTTATCGATTATATAACCATAAATACATTTGCACATAAGAATTATAATCTATCTATAATTAAAAAAAAAAAAAATGGTGTGAAAGTATATTCATTTCTGCTATACCTACATTAGCGTAAGGGTCACCAGCAATGAATGTTTTTAATTTGAATTCAGCATATAAAATCATTGTTTTACTTACAAATTACTAATACTGTATGAATTTGTAACTCAAAATAGTTTTGCACATTTTCATGATTTTAACGAATTTTGTAAAAATTCTAATTTCAGACTCTCATAAATTATGTTGTGAATTGACGCTTAACTTTTCTTTTTTTTTAAACGTTAGTACCAACAAAATGTCTAGATTTACTATATTACGAAAAAATATACTGAAATAGAAAACCTAATCATTTTTCCTGTCTCAAATGGTGATGATAGAGACAGAAACAAAAAAACATACTTCATTGTAACATAAATAAATTCATCGCTCTGCTCAGACTCTAACAGTATTCGTTTTCAAATCTTAAGTCCTTACAAGGGCGTCCGCAGGAATTTGTCAAGAAAAATCTGGTTGGTGATAAATTATTGTTTGGGACATGTTTTTATTTCATATAGGTACCTAGGGAATGTCAAAACTAATAATGAATTATTTGTAGATAGTTAGTTAAAACTTAATCTTACAGCGTTAATTATAATTAATTTACATGTATATTTTTTAATTAATATAGGTACTTATTATTTTTTGAATACACAGAAAATAATAAGCTATGAGACTTCTGTACTTAGCAGTATAATATATGAATTCTGTGATTATTCAGTGTTTTTATAATTTTCCGAAAAACTATAAACATTTAAGTATTATACATTTATATATACAATGTATAAACCCAAGTAGTAACATAAACAAGTAGGAATTGGGACCATATTCTAAAATACATTGAAAATATTTCAAATGTAAAATGTGAAATATTTTTCAAATGAACCTAAATCGTGGGTATTTTGTTTCTTCACAATAACTGTTGAATTTCAAATAAAATATGTATATATTGCGCTATCTTGCGTATAAGCAATAATATTGTGTCAATCTTAATTTTTTTTTAAACTGCTCGTAGATGGCGTTAAACAATACACACATTATGCAATAAAGTTATAATCTAATAACTTATAAGTTTTAATATCCAACTAAGTTACCTATTGTTAGTAATTTTTTTAAAGTAATTCAATTTTAAAATTATTTTAATATTTTATTTATTAATTATTAAACTAATAGTAAATCTTCCATCGCATTATATTACACAATCATATGACAATATAATTTATAACTAAACAAACCATAATAATTTTTTTTCTATGGACATTATAGACATAATTTATGATTAGACAAAGTTAAAGGCTACGTGATTTTAGTGCAACTATTTGAAAACATGAAACCTTATGAGGAAAAATATTTAAAAGAGTGATGTGCAAGAACTTATTTATATAATATGTCACATTTTAAAACACAGACTAATACAGAATTCATTTAAATTAATCCGGTTTAGATTTCGATTTTGATGATGATTTAAAAATAAGTTTTTTTATCAACTGCAATGTTTTGAATACAATGTAGCAAACTGATATGATAAGTAGTAATGCAACTGCTATAACATCCAACAAAAAATATTGATACCATGTCAAATTGAGGGCGTGAGATTTCAAATGCGGTGCGCCTTTGTGACGAATAACGTATTCCGTCCAGTAAACAACCGATTCGGCCGGTGACATTGGTCGATCTTTAAATAGTTCCGATGTAATTTTAGCATTTTTTGAGTAACTGGAAATAATTAATATTAAATTATAAGATTTTACAATTGAAATTATATATTTCGATTTTTTTTTGTATATCCACTTACGTCTCATTGTTGATAATTTCATTGATAGCATTTAAAAGTGTATCTTTGGTCACTGAAAACAAGTCCATAGACAACGCCATACCCGCATCAACCAAATTTGCCACGTTTCTCGGTTGATCATAGAACAAAGGGAATCCTAGGACTGGGACACCCGCGTCCACAGCCTCATAGACACCCGATATACCTCCATGACCGATGAATAACTTTACATTTGGATGCACTATGTACAATAATAATATGAAGTATTGCTGTTTAATTGCAAGATAATATTTTTAATTTATCACATCATACTCAATATATCTCGTTGGGGCAACCATTTGCTTGTCATCACGTTTTTGGGTTTATCCGTCATTTCTCCTTCATATTTCAACAACACTCTTTGAGGAACTTCGGCTAATGCGTTTTTGAAAGCAATTTGAATATGGTCCGGTAATGTTGACAATGCAACTACAGTACCGAATGTAAAGAAAATAACTCCATTTGGTGATTCCTCGATAAATTTTAAAATATCCTGTAAATATTCATAATTAACATCAACAAATTCATATAATATTATAATATATAACAATCAATTATATATCAATACTTTAATATAAAGTAATTAATATTTTAAATCCCATAACCTGCATACACACAACCAGTCAAACCCATTAAAAAAAATCGATCTTCTCAATCACTATACCCTTGAAATCCTGCAAGAATATTCAAGAGGCTATTGGACAAGAGATTTTCTCAGTTCATATTTAGCGCTTAGGCGATAATATAATAATATAATATATAAAAATATACAAAATATCAATATCCATAATACCACAGAATAGATAATACAAACACCTACTTCTGTGCTTTTGCTGGATGGTTCTTTTTTGGAATTTTCAAGGTGAAAACTTCTTAAATATTAAGCAATCAGTTATTGTATAAAAGTATAAGTATAAAACATGAAATATTACTGTTTATTATTATATTAATATAATTTATTTTACAATTAGTAACATGGTTTGTTAATGTAGGTTGAATTGATTTTCGCCAATAACATTACATTGGAAATTGTCATTGCGACTAAATTACAAAATTGTGTTAAAGTATAATAATATATGTACGTAACGAGTTTCAAGTATCCATGAGGCCATGAATAATATTTTAAATTACAACAAAATAACTAAAATCGTTACTGTTTGTTTATTTGTCTAATTTCGTCTAAATTTTAAATTGTATTTCTATTAAAAAATGTTGTGAAAAGGATTATAGATTTTTAGGTTACAGTATGAACTATTTATGAGAAATCTTGTATTGAATTTTGTTATCCTTATTTATAAATTCAAAATTTTTTTAATGTTTAACTATAAAATAATTTGCAAATGTCTTTCATTTTGACAAATTTTGTAAAAATGCTAACTTAAAATGTTTATTTTATCATTTTCTATACATGATAATGTTTAAAATGTAAGGTATAAGATAACGAATAGATAAGAATAATAGACAATTTAAAAGTGTAATAAAAGTAGTTCATTCTGTAACCAAAAAATCTAAAAATACAATATAAACACATTTTTTCTTTAAAGACATTTTAAGTTCAAACTTGGATGTAATTATATATTATTTTAATGAAGAATAACAATTTTAGTTATTTTGTTGTAAATTGTTATTTACAAATATTATGAAATCAAAAATTACCCCCTAAGTTGAAAATCATTTATTTGCTTCCATGTATACATACATTTATACAAAAACATTTTTCTTGTATTATACATAGATTGCTACGGTATTAGAAGGTAATTATGATACATATAGAAATTGTCTTAGGGGATTATATAGGTACAATTTAAAAAATAATGTCATATCTTTTCCCACAAACACAACAAAATTACTCCACTGCATATAAGGGTACTATTATCAAATAAAAAGTTTGTTATATGCAATATTTTTTTCTTTATTCGACGAAAAACTACCGATATTAATTTGTTTCATAACAATTGGACACTTAACCTATGGGTTCGTCGTGTACACCAATAAAGTGTTTGAAAGTTTGTCTTCACTACCCGCGAGGCCATTTCTACATTTCCACTTAAGAATCTATAACAATCAAAGTTTATTACCTACGTGTTTCCTTTTAAAATGGAATGTTATGTTCATGCAGTAGAGTATTTGAACTCGGAAGTATCTTAGTTGTTTATACGACAAGAAGGGATTTTGATAATAGTTTTTTATAAAATTCTTAATTCAGGGAGTGCATCTTATTTAACAGTTCTGTTCGTTGTTTATTTTCAGTAGAGCTAATTTGAAATTGTATTATTATAGTCTATATTATTTACCTATCTGTAGACTTTAGTTTATAGATACCTACAGGCTACATTTATTATAATAAAAAAAACCAAAGCCCAATTATCAAAGGGTAGGCGTCAGGTGATCTACCCATCGTCCTCCTTAAATTTGACACTTCAATGTCTTGGGACAATATGTACAATTATAAATCCTTTACTTTGTTAACATATACATATATATATATATATATACATTATACTACTGTATTGAGCGCATTGCAAAAGCAAACAAACGGGGGGAAGCCGAAAAACTAATTATGATACCATTATACTTTAGTAACCAAAAATATATATAACACTTAAATCAACTAAATTAAAATAAAAGGGGAGTATTGTAATGGTGTGGAACACCATTACAGTTTTCATATTTTTATAATTATAATATTACGTATAGTATTATATAGTATATACTATACATATATCATAGATGCGCGTGTCATCTTTTATCCATTCTGTAATATCACGGAGTAAAGCTATATATATATGTATAACTATTTTGTATAGTAAACAAAATGTATAATAATCGTTCGGCCTGCTTGACATTCGTCAGCCTAACCAGTCTCGTTTCACCACTTAGCCAGTTTATTATTTTTTAGTATTTTAAAGTTTAAAATAACACCTTTCAGGCTAGATCCATTATTTAGTGTCTATGGTAGAAACAAAATAATATTTAAATCACACTGTTATAATAATATTATGTGGGTCTCAGTATAGTGGAGAATTTAAAATGTTTGTTCGATTGTACCACGTTCGTGGAGTGATATTAGACGGGGTGTTTCACCCAGTTAAGTAGCCAATAGCCATATATTTATACGTCTGTTATTTATAGTATATACTCAAGAAAACTATTGGCATTTTCATTTTTAATGGCATCGAGAAAACATCATTCGAATTTATTTAAACGTTTATACGAAGTAACTACCTACGAATAACATTTTATTTTAAGTATATTTTTTAATCGATGTTGGAACTATCCATCTCCTAGTACAGTAGTGCATTGCAGGTGGGTTTTGGTTAATCCGGCATTCCAACATGTAGTACATTTGTGATATCACTATAACTGACTAAGAATACTTTTAACTGCAATTGGGCATATTCCACTGAGTGCATCCAATTTTTAATTTTTTTATTTCTCACAGCTTGAATGCATCCACAATCTTATCGACAAAATTATTATATTGAATACCCTAAGTGTGTCCTTTGGTCCGCAGCCAAAACTTTTAAGAGACAGAATCGATAGTAGGTTTTGATAGTCTAATGTTGAACAATTATATGCGTAATTTTTACAATGAATACTGTGGTATGGAAACCGAATTTTATTTTAACTTCGATCATAATAGAACACGATTACGACTCATTTAGGTCTATAAGTGTGAGTAGTGAACTGACGCAATGCCATAAAAAACAAGTAGTTACTCTTGTTTTTAATTTTCAAATAATGTAAAATTGAGTTATAAGCAGACACAAAAAAAAATATTATAAAATATTAGTATACACTTGCCTTAACTTAAAATATATGAATCAAAATAATAATAGGTAACCGTTTCGTGGTTCACTCTGTGCTGATGCAACTAGAGATGAATGTGTTAAGCTGCGAGTTAAATTTTTTGGCCCCCTATTTCAAACCTTAATGTCTGAAAAGGGTTATAATAATGGGGTCCTTTTAGGGGTACTGTGCACCCCCAGCGCCCCAGGTAATTGCGGCGCTGAGTTTAACCCGAGCGCGAAGCGGCTTGAGTAACTTAAAATAAACTGGGACGCGGATGAGGGCCAAAAATAGGATCTTTTTTCTTGGGACGCATTCGGGCGATAACTTATTTTGGATGCACCCCGGACATTAAATAAGTGTAATATCGGGAAACTCCCTATCAATTGCAGCGCTGCTTATATTTTATGGCCAGTATACCAATTGCGCTCATTATTTTTAACGTCAAAATATACATTTGTACTTGAATTATAGTTTATTATAAGCAGGGCTCGGGACTTCATGTATTTTTTGGTGCATATGAATGAGCATATTTTTAAGATTTTAAGCACATAAAGTTTAGAGCCCCGATTAAAAGCTTTATACTTATTTATATATTATATATATAATAACGATTTATAAATTTTATATTTTAAATTTAAATTTATATTTTGATCAGTTGATTACTGTGTAATTGGTTAAATATTGAAGTTTATTGTTATTATTATTTTAAGACATAAACAAAAGTATTTTTATTGTATACTATTATTATAACTATTCAATTTTAATTATGTATATATATTATATATATATATATATATTAGATTTTAAATATACCAGCTACTGACGTTTATTGTATGCCAATCGAACAAATTGATGAACAAAGATATTTTAAAACATATGAACAAAAAAAGCTATTTATTTACATACTAAGAATAATATTTATGACTCCCACCAATGCTGCCTCTAGTAGTTTAGTACATACCTATAGTATATTTGACCGTGACCGGTATATGCTGTCTAACAATTGTATAAAAAGCACATAATTATCTAATTATTATTAATACAAAATATATAATTAAAATACTAAATAGTAATCATGATAACATAGAAAGTGGCCTACTGGTGTGGTGAACTTGAAATTTTTCAGAGACTAGTTTAATATTTTACCTACCATAGAGCCTCAACAACGAGATAAAGGAATTCGCTGTAATGTTTATAACAACTTGGCATAGTTTTTAGTTTTTACTAAAATAGGAACTATAATATAGTTAATACTAAATTATCACCTGTTGGCCATTACCTACGTCCTACACACCCACTCACCCACCACCCTTAAAAAATAAAAACTCATAGGTGGCAGCCTCTCAATCAATACAAAATATCATTATACTGTTCTATGGTTCTATAAAAGTCTTTCACCCTATTTAATAGTTTTTATTGAAAAACTACTATTTGATAATGTAAACATTTCCGTCACTATTCATTATATTTAATGATTTTATAAGTTTTATTAGTTTATATAATTGTTGAGCTATATTAGTTGTTACTTAAAGCCATAATAAAAAAAAAAGTTTTATTAGTCTTACACATCTTTCATCTGCTACTACTTATAGACAGTTATAGTACCTATATCTATAGTATACCTATCATGCCTACTACTTTGTATAGTGTTTAGTGTTTACTATTCGCATTCGAGTATAGCGATTACTGTAGTTTACGTGG